TATATGAAAGGCCAGCAATCCAGATGGTGGCGGTGAAGAAGGTCACCATGAACCATCGCTCCCAGCGGCGCTTGGCACAGTTAGGCACGGTGAAGAAGAGGAGCAGAGACAGTGGCCACATGGTCAGCCACTTCAGTTTGAGACACACACCAGCTGGAGGAGGACAGTCAACAGATATGGCTACACGTATAAGCACAGTGTATTTGTCTCCCTACATGTGGTCTGCACTGTACCTGGAACCTTGAATGGCACCAGTGGCCCCCCACGATCATCAACTTCTTCCCCCTCCTCGTCGTTCTCATTGTTCTCATTGTCCTCATTTTCGTTCTCCGTCTCGTTGCCCGATTCCAGTCGCTGAAGTCCACCTCTGCCGTCACTTCCTCCGCCCATACCATTTTCTAAGCCCCGCCTCCCCTGACTCCTGGCTGCTGATTCAGAGTCGCCATTGGTGATGCGATTGACCCGAGTCTCTGTGGTGTTGATCAACCTCTGTCTCTGTGAACAATAAGAGAAACAGTTCCATCGACGATGGGAATAAAATGTAAGTTCTTGAAAAGGTTCCTTATTGTCTAAGTTTTCTTTCTGTAGGTGTCCAGTGAAGCAGCAGGTTTTTATAAATATCATCAAGTAATTTGGTAAAAGTTGACCTTTAGCTAATTTACAGTCCAGGTCTGTACAGAACAAATTAGTACAAAAAATATATAGATTTAATAGGGTTTCAGAGAGTTTACTGATAAATTATTTTTATGGTATACAGTGGTCCCTACGCGTTCTTGCAATACCCTATGTATGTATGTGTTACAAAAAATCTTTTTTCTTCTTAGGCTAGGAAATGCTTATTTTATCACAGAAATTATAAAAAAATATTGGGAAATGTAAAAATGTTTATATAGTTCCAAAACCCACGATTGAACCAAAAATCTGCAATACAAGAATACATTTAAAATATTGAAAACCTGCGATGCACTGAGGCGCGACAGTTGAACTGCGATACAGCACTCTGCAAAAGTGTAAGGGAAGTGAATACATTCATTTGCTGGTTTGAATCCCAGCTCCAGTCTGAGCTGTGCTGTGTTGGGCAAATGCCCAAAACTCCCACAGTTCACGGGGGCAGCAGTCTGGTCCAACTACGGGGCATTCATTCATGAATTTAACATTTACAAATTCAAGGCTGGGAAAACTTCAATTTGTAACATCTGGGTCAATGTCTGGGACAAACCCAGAGTCCGACCTCATTGCCACGTACCTCATTGATAAGCATGCGTGACGCCATGGTGAGACGGGTCCTAGGCGAGAAGTGACTGGTGATCATGATCCTCATTCCGGCCTCAGAGAAGGACAGTTGGTGGGGGTAGGCAGACAGCAGCTCATCCACCATCAGCACTGACGGCTTACGGTAGAAGTTCGCTTCAAACAGATGGGGAAAAAGGAAGAAGAGCATTGACATGCGTGACAGACATTAGACGAGGAGAAGCTCTTTGACAACATCTTTGTCGCACTGGCACGTCATTCCAGCCCCTCGCTGTGATGTGTTAAAGTTACAAAAGACTACGTTTCTAATTGTCGTTCGTCCGAGGTAAATGAAAACCCAAAACTTGTGTGTGAGAACCACAAATATGCCTGAGTAGGAACTTGTGTCGTCAGTGTACGAACAACAAAACTGATATATAAAAACAAAAAATAACTTTTATTTATGTAGGACAACATCTGGGAAATAGCATTAATTTACCAGAACAGCAATGACGAAAACGTGTGTGTGTGTGTGTGTGTGTGTGTGTGTATGTGTGAACAATCACAAAAATGTGTCCTCTGTGGGGACCAGATGTGACGCAGCACATTCAGACAGATCCAGCCCGGACCGAGTGCCAGCTGCTACCCCACTTGTGTTTGTTGCCGCCTCAGCACACCCCGAGGAGAAAGTTAGCAGGGTCACTTGTTTTGGCTGAAGGCAGCAGTGAGTGTATCAGAGCCAGAAGCAGCTGACGGAGCAGACTGTGAAGGAAAGGTTAGAACCAGCACCTCCCTCCTCCTCTTCCACTGCTTCATGTTAGAAGTGGAGCAACCCTGCCCCTGTTTGGACCTCTGTCTGAGCAGGAACATTATCACCACCACCTCCTGCAAATTGATTCCGAACTCAGCACTGCCCCCTAGCGGATTATCTTTACTTTGCCCCCCGGCCCAGTCATTGGCACTCAATAATAATAATAACAAAACTCAATATTTCATCATATATGGGTTTGAGTCCAGATATGAAGGCAACTGGGTCGACATATGGGCTGCAGTCCATCTATCAGTGACCTCTGGTCTATGATGCACTAGAACTGTTTTAAATCAGGACATTTTTGCTTCCTTTGGTTGAACACGATGATTTTCAAAAATTTACTAACAGACCGAATCCTATGTGCGTTTTACTGTGTTTTTGCTAATTTTGAGACAAATATCAAAGTACTTTCACTTGAACAATAACAGTAAGGACCAAGCACTATAAATATTTGACCTGAACGTTATTAAAGAGCCTGACAGAGAACTAGAGTTAGCAGCTGATCAACATCTCCAATATGAGTTTGAGATTTCAGTCTGAGCTCTTCTTCAGTGTCGTCTGGTCTAAGGACTGAAATCCAGTTCCTTTAAACGTTCTTTCAGTTCTTTACAGGGATAAATAAAATCAGATTGTCCTAGATTCCAACATCTTGATGAGCTTCAATTGTCTGAACAGGTTTCCATTCAAGCTTGGTTCAAAATGTAATAAATCACACAGCTTTACTGATATGACAATAGAACTGGTCAAAGCTGTTGGACACACATGGACCAGTCTGAACTGGTTTTAGGTTAAAACACTTTAGACCAGGGGTGTCAAACATACGGTCCGGGGGCCAAAACCAGCCCGCTGGGGTGTTCGATCCGGCCAGCTTGATGAATTTTGAAAATAAAAAAATACACACTTAATGTTTAGAATATTTTTTGTAAAATTATATTTAATTTAATATGAATAAAAATATGGACTTATTGTTATGTATAGTTAATTATGTTATGATTGTACTGGTCCGGCCCACTTGACGAGACTTAGGTTGTATACGGCCCATGAACCAAAATGAGTTTGACACCCCTGTGGAAAGATAGAGCTGGAACTATAGGCTTCCTGTCAGAAAAGACGAGTCGGTCACACTGGCTAATTTTCTTTTTCTTCCTTGTCCTCTACTCTACGTCTCAGGTGATTTCACGGAGCTGCTCTCATACATCTACACTTCAGATCACCTGAACTGAATCTGCCATCCTAACAACTGATAGGACGACGAGGGAGTCAGACAGTGTGCAGCAATATTAGCAGTAAGGATCAGTCCAGGACAAATGCATGGAACGTGTTCATTAAATCCATCCTTGACTACATTTTCACGAAGAAGAGCGATGACAGATTAGTTTTCCCTGAACGCCTTTATGTAAATTTCCAGTGTGAAGCCTACACAGTTTGGTCAGAGGTCAAACCCCGTGGGGAACAACACGTTCTCCTACTTGTTCTGAGCAGAACTGCTGTGGCGTCACAGGTGACGTCCTCCAGGTCGGTGCTTCCTGTCAGCCCATTGGCCAGTTTCACTGAGCTCTTCTTCCGTCGGTCAAAGTAGCGATGTGCCCTGCCGTTGAATCTGTCAAAAAAAACATGACATCATCACCACATTCATCAGTGGTATTCTCTGTGTTTTCAGTTAAGCTTCAGGGAAAAGGACTCACTTCATCATGAGGATGTAGACTGTGTACATGAGAACCAGGACGAGAGACTCCCACCTGCGCGTGAGCACAGTCATCAGAACCTGCAGAGTGACTCAGCAACAGCATGAATTATCATGTTTCCTCAAAAAGAAACTACGCACCAGCACACTTTCTCATCGTAGATGAACTAAAAAAAGGTGAGACAAAAAGGAAGTTAGTGGGAGGGAGTGACACTTCCGAACGATGTCCACTAGAGGGCGAGATTAACTGCGCTTCACAAAAACACTGGCCGCAGCACACGCTTCAGCATCATTTTATGTCCTTTAAAGACTGCAAAGGTTTAACAGTTGATCGAATGAACAAACGCAATGAGAAAACATGAAATACAATTTAAGGTTCTAGGACAAAAAGTCTGAAAGGCCCGTTCGATGTGAAATAAAACTGATACAAACATTACACGTTTTTATTTTCAACCAAGGCTGTAATTTTTAAAAGTCAATTTATTTTATTATTCTATTCGTATTTACTGGCATGCAACTATGCCTTCCTCCATCAGATAGGCGACAGCCTCTGTGCCCTATGTCCCCTATCTTACATTTTTTTACGCTTATTATTAATATGATTTACTTAAATTTTATTTACATCTGAGTCAATTCCAAAACCCGGGGCCAAAGTTTACAGTTACATTGACGCTGAGAACACATGAGGCAGAGGTGAGGAAGGTTATTGGCTTCAAAGACACGGTGTCAGCCGTTCAAAATAACATGACCTATGGAACCAAGAGTTCTTACCGCAATCAGAGCTGTGACAGAAAAGGTGTAAAAAATGGAATCTCTGAGTAGAGCCCAGTGAGAGAGCTTCACTGCCTGAGAGAGGAGACGGAGAGAGAGAGAGAGAGAGAGAGGGGTGAGAGATAGGCAGGGCAGAGAAGTCATTCTCCACTCTCACTGTACCTGCCTTACTTTTTCCATGTTACCAATTCCCATGAAGTGCCCCAGAGCCCCCTAGAGGTGATACAGTTTGCACTGCTCTAGGCTAATCAACACTTTGTGACCTTATGATGTATCCAACAGTCTATCACTTAGACCATATCTTTGTCCTACGTATTATTGACCAGGGCCAGGTCACCCTAGTCAGACCTGTAATAATCCAACCCATAGGTGGCATTAATGCACTTAAAGTGCATTTGTCAGGTGCAAAGAAGTGGAACAACAGAACCTGAATGGAGTTAGTGTGAAAAGTGATTACAGAGGAGATGACATTGTTTGGTTTGTTGAATTTTTTCAATTGAACTTCCTGGTCTCAGCTTGGATGAGATCATAGTTCAATAAGGTGTTTTCTTATCACTGCACTACTACGTCTACAGTGTCAACTCAATATAAAACATGTTGCTGTGAGTATAAGACACTGGAGCTGACATTAGCTACAACAGTCCTGGTACAGACACCAGAGCTAACACTAGCTACAACAGAAGTAGAAGACAGATGAAAATTGAACATTTTTGTCCTTCCACACCAGTTAGATGTCTTTTTATTGATTTAGTTAATAACTGAAGACTGTGCTCATTGTGTCAAATATTGCTAGTTGATAAAAATTGATTCATTATTTTCTTTTACCATGTCTCACCACTACTTTAAATAAATGTAGGTGGGGAGAAATGAGTAAGATATGAAGCTCACATCGCCCTTGTTTTTTACCATCCTGATGTTTACAGAGCAGATCTGATATGGAATCATTTTACAGTGGGTGGGAAAATAAACCAGCTGTGAGGATCCGTCCTATGTGAAGTGAGGAGGCAGTGAGGCTCTTGACTTATATAATAAGGGATCTTTCGTGGAACACAGCTGTAGAACTCTCCCACACTCTTCTCTCCCTGTGAACATGTGCTGAGGGTCAGCTCAGAGTGGGACCCTCAGCTGCTCAGTGCTATCTGCTGCTGCAAGGTGGATGAAAAAAAAAAAAAAAGCTAGAACACAACACATGCAGCTACTGATGCAAACCATGTGACGCCGTTTTCTATTAAAGAAAATCTATAGTAGTCCATTAATGAAACAAACGCACACACACCGTACCTGACCAGCGAAGAAGCCACAAACACCGATGATGCAGAGGATGTTGAAGACAGCTGAGCCCACGATGGTCCCCACCCCCACGTCACCCTTGGTGATGAAGACTCCTGCAAGACACACACACACACGCACATTATGTTAAAAACATCTTTTTAACTAAAACGTCCCTGAGATAAAGTCCATTTTTTTAAGGAAGCCCTGGCAAAAAAGTTGTTTGTGTTCACTTTAAATAATCCATTCCCTCGTCCCTCAGTCTAACTTAATCATTTCAAACGTCTAATCTGCACGATCAGATTTCTTTTTTTGCAAGGTTGTTTACATTATAGATTATGCTCAGTGTGACATTCATCAGACTTCAGTGTGAACAGTGCACAGACACTCTGAATATGGAAGCTCACTCATGTATCAATTTGGAAGTTTTCGTTCAATCCCTGTCAGTCGATCTGATCTCTTTGACACCAATCACAGCCTTCACTCTACTTGGGGCTGGGGTGTTGCAGACCACTCCTCAGCTTTGGTCTCTCTAAGATACAAGCTAAAAAATAAGATTTTTGAGTTTAAATTTTTGTTTTATTTTTTAGGTTTCGTAGTTCCACTGCGTTCACTTTTTATATACAGTCTATACTTGTCACGTGTCATTTTGAGGCTCTAAATAATGTCAGGGGGTGAACCAGTTTAGGCAGTGCTGAACATGGATCCAGCCCAACTTTACAGTATTCTCTAAAGGTTTCTTTCTGTCCTGCTACAGCTATAACCTGTAGTTCAGAGGTGTTTAGTGAACTCTGGAGAGATGAAGTCAGACTCTGTACCAATGACTGAGGTGAAGAGCTCCGGGGCCGAACTGCCAGCAGCCATGAAGGTCGCACCGGCTACGTCCTCACTCAGGTGGAGACGCTGAGAAAGACAAAGTGAGAAGACTGTTGTGTACAAGGCTAACAAGGCTTGTTTGGAGCACTGAGATAAAAACATTGATTCCAGAAAATATTCATACATTCATGCAAAGATAAAAAAAAAAAAAAAAAAAGAAATCATGGAGAGTAGGGTGCAACAGATGGTTAGAAGAGCTTTTTTGTGTGGAGAAAAACCGACGTTGTTCTCAGTCCTGAGAAATAGGAGCAGATACTTCCTCAACATGGCATATTATCTGAATACAGTACCTCACATATCTTCTCCAGGGATGGAACAAAATAGTCATCACAGACCAAAGCCAGGGCACAGAACATGTAAATGGTCTGTGGGGAGAGAGAGAGAGAGAGAGAGAGAGAGAGAAAACACACCATAAAAGTAAGTTTTATCATCATAGCATAGGGAGAGTTTAATCACGAAAGGTAAGGTACGTTATGACGACATACGATACGATACTAAACAATTGGATACAATATGATTTGATACAATACGGTACGATACGATATAATGCAATATGATGTGATACAATATGACACGATATGATACAATACAATACGACACGGTATGTTATCATAACAAAAGACAAGATAGGAAAAGATAACGTGAGATATAGTAAGAAACCATACGATACATAAGATAAAATAGGATAAATTGACATACAATACAGCACAATTTGATACAATTCAGTACAATATGATAAAAAATGAAGAAAAGTGAAATGATAAGTGGCAACTAGCAATAAGAATATAGATAAAAAAATCAACAGTTCCTGTTCACTTAAATAATAAGAAAAAACGATGACGAAAAAATGGACCAATAGTCGTGTTTGCTAATTGAACATTTTTTTCTCGTTTGATCTTCAAAGGAGTAACAGAACAGTTAGTAGATTTTGTTGTTTTAATGTGGTGCTAGAGCTAAAAGCTAATTTTGCACCTCACTCTTGACAGTAGGCAACATGTCCTGCAGGTGTAGACATGTCTGACCCAGACTGTGACTCTAGCACCGACGTGATGCTGCTGGTCGCCCTCACCGTGTAAGGACAGTGAGATAATTGGCGAACAGCAGACTTTTTTTTGCTGACGTTATTGAAAGACACTTTCATTCCCAAGTGGAGGGATTTCCAGTTTCACCTTTTTCATGAGCAGCCAATTCAACGTAAAACTCACAAAGAAGACAGCATATTATAAAATGTAAAATAAGATAATTAGCGTATCCTCAAACAGACGGAGCTGGAATTCCTGATCAAACCTGTTCTTTACCGCTTTGCTGGTTTTGTTGATTTCGATTTTGTGAGACAGCCCTTTGTTTTTATTATTCTGAGACGGCAACAGTCCTTGCTGCGGTCGATTCATTATCATTCGTCTCAGCTGTCACAAATCACATCCTTTTCTTTCATCACATCCGTCATGCAGAGAAGTGAGGCAGGCACACAGCCGTGCTGATCAAGAGTAAAAAAACATCAGGGAGAGACAGTAGACTGAATGTTAACATGTGGAAAAAGGGAGATGAGAATTTCATTTCAATACTTTTCGCTAACGAGCGTTTCAGAAAAACTGCTTGCGGCGAGACGAGCACCGGGACGTCAATAATTCCTCTATTTGGTGCTCGTTATTGTTCACTCAGTACTGTCTCTTTGTGTTTTTGTTTAGGTTTGTGTGTGGAGGAAAAAAAACGTAAGTTATTAAATAATAATTATGTTATGTTCATTATGTACACTACAGAGTGTTACCTTTGGGTTAGGTTATGTTTTGTCTTTCTTACCGTGGATTACATTTAAGGCTGTGTAATTGATCATTCATTTTTATCCAATTAGCATTAGCAGCATTTAGTTATTATTATTTCGAAGGTCTGGATCTCACATGCAGAGAGGAGTGAGAATTTCCATTGTGTTTCTTCAACTGAAGGACCTCGTTGACCCACATTGTTGGACTTTTAAAACCCTTTAACTACGACATAATCATGTAGTGGTCGAGTGGCCCACTAGGGGGTTGTTGGTTCTTGCTTTATGCGCAGCAATGTTCCCCAGTGTTACAGCTCTGCTAGCATGGGCCTCCATTACAGTCAGCTCAACTCAGCAAGGGTCAAGATGTATTTTTGAACCTGCTATGTGTTTTGTAGCGTGTATGCTAAAGCATACTAAAACGGTTCCTCTGTAGAGCCGACATTGCACACTGACCCCTGCTGGGCTGAGGAAGATGGACCCACTTAGCTGGTCATGCAAGAAAGGTGAAAAAAGAGAGCTCTTGTGGTTTTAGATTAATGGATCTCACAGTCTTCCTGCACATGGATGATAACTTAACAGTCTATGATTTTTTTTTTTGATTAAGGTTTCCTGATAGATTATTGATCAATGATTGGTTGATTTCTACTGTTTTTAATGATTTCACCCTTTTTGCAGGAGAAGACGATTCTGTTTGATATTTTGTGTTCAGTAAAAATAAATTCAGAGGAGGGAAATTGCCTTCTAAAAACAAATTTAAAAAGTTAGCTAAAAAAAAAACTGCTGAACTAAAGTGAGTGTGAAGCAGCCCTAACCACAGCCGTTAGCAGCTAGCATGCAGGCTATAAACAAGAAACACAGCGCAAAGGTTTCTAGTGAACAGGCCGCTGAGAAATACAAGTGAAAAGATAGTAAATGATGAAAATCAATTGATGGCCAACCTAAGTCCGTAGTTCGAATTCTAAGGTCTGACCGACTCTGGATACACAATAGGAGTAAATTTGCAATTAGCCAGTGAGGACAGACTGTGGACTTACGCAGAGACAGTGCAGGGCCACAGCTCCTTGTGTCCGCTCTTTGTTGGTAAACAGGTCTGTGGGGAATTCGTGCACAGCTGTAAGACACAAAAACCTGGTATTAGAAGAACAAAAATAATGTGTTGAGCCAGAACACGAGCAACACGTTCCCAGCGACCTGAAGACAGAGGTCATGACGGATTGAAAGGTCAGACATGTGTGCGACAGTCTGACTGTGGCCTTCCAAAGACGTGAATTCTCAGAGAACAACTGTCTGCAGACAAAAAAAAAGAAAGAAAGGGAACATAGCGAGCGTTGTCGACAAAGCGAGGGCACAGAGAGGAGACAACCGAGTAAAAATAGAGTGAGGGATATTTAGAGTACACACAGGACACAGAGTAGGATGGATTATAGCAAGGGAGCTAGGAAAGTTCAGCTCACATTTTAAAGTCCACTTTAGTGTGTGAAAGTGTGGGAGCGAGACGGGGGGAGAGCAGAGAGGAAGTGACGAGTGGGATGGTTAAAAGGCAGGAAGTTGGCACTGGGAAGTAAAACAGTCAGAGGTAAAAGGTGATGGAGGCTGGATCATGTGGCTGTGACAGGCCGTTGGCTGACGGACAGGGTTGTGAAGACCATCGTCCCTCCAGCATCAGCCTGTCGACTATTGACTGACAAGTCACAGCTGACGGCTGATGCATTATTCAACAGACACCTGGCATAGTCCTGGACAGGAGCGCCCCCAGCAGGTAGTCTCGAGAGCTAAGCTGCAGACTACACTAAAGGTAGAAAACTATTGAGAAAGGAGTCAGGGACATAGCATAGGACAGTGATTCCCAACCACTGTGCAGCGAGCACATAGTATGGGTAAAACAGATCCAGTAGGTGGCAGTAATGTAACTCACAAGAGTCAGATCTTCGAGTAAAGCCTAACAAGAAGACGTTGACTCTGCAGGTAAGCTAGCATAGCTTTGACGCTAGTGCACCACTGATCCGCTAATACAGTTATTGCTAGCTTGTGGACAGCACATCACATGCTAAATAAATGTATCCCTCAAAGATGGAATCCATTTTGAGTGATTTAAAAAAAAACATGCTGCCAAGAATGTTTACTGTGGCTACAAGAAGTTAGCTACCTCAATCTTACATAGTGATCCGAATTCTATGCACCCTACAGGCTACCTGGGCTAGACAAGACCAAACCACTCTATCTGTGGACCACAGGAAGTCAAGAGATGTTAAGAAAATCAAATCTGTTCTGTGTAAAACCTGTAAATAACACCACAATATTTCCATTTACTACGGCCTATTGTACAATGGTGAGTACAGAGCCTCAACCACGGGACCAGGGACCAGGGCTGGGCCGTGGGTCATTAGCTACCAGGGCCATTTTATTTTTTCCAATCACTAACCAGTTCAAATGTTTTCTTGGTAATCTTTTAGGGTTAGATTAAGAGGACGAAAACACAATCCCGCTTAAAAAGAACCAGCCAGGACTACTATACTGCTGAACTACCAGATCAGAAAGCAAACTCTTCTGTCTGTTGAGCAGATGAAATGACCTGGTCACTTTGACCGTATCAGAACCCTCCACTGAGAACTTGTAAGGTGTGCCTGACTCTCTCTGCAGCTGAACATGAGCTCCATAGCAACAGAGTGAGTTTGTCTCAGACGCAGGAGCCAGAGGTGGACACAAACAATGGACTGCCATAGTAGCTGGTCTTTGCAATCACTGCTGCTGCGGCTGCTAATGCTAATGGTTAGCGTAAATTAAAATATACAAATACTCTACAGGAGAAGACCAGGCAGATAATAAGGAAAATATTTTCAGAACATTGTTTCATTATTGAGTGTCTGGCCCTCCAAGATGTCTGTCCAGAAAAATTATGGCTCTCCAACAATTATATTTAGTGAGCCCAGGACCAGTACAGAACACGGCTATGATCCTGGTGTTGGTCCATCCAGTGTCCTTTGGCAAACATTTCAGTGATTTCCCCTGCAAATACCCAGTGTCAGCCAACAGTGTCAGTGTTTACTCACTTCTACACATCTACTGTACACACGCTGTATCACCACACGTGTCCCCTGCACACACCACTCCTTTCACCATCCCATGTTTCCCAGGTTATTTATAGCTGTCAGAGTGGACTAAGGCTGCAGAGTCCTGGGTGATTTCCTCTCAGTCCCTGATCTCTAAATATAAAATACTCAGCCAAGAAGATTCCTGCACCATCTCCTGCCAAGGCGCAAGACTGATGTCGCCATCTACTGAATCTTCAAGGTGCACATCAGTCTGTATGTTGTGTAGGTTCTATCTTAACCAGTTCTGAAGGAGGTAGACAGGCTTCACCTTCAATCCAGGAAACCTGCTATTTTACCTTTTTAGGCAAAAGTAAAGCAAAATATCAGGAACAACATCACGATCCACTGACAGGATGTCATATTCACTGGGGTCAAGGTGTAAAAAAAGGGGTGGTTGGTGTCATCCACACATTATAGTGACGCCCACATGGTATCGGAATTCTGGGTGAAACTGATGTAATACATATGCCACACCTAGATGTGGCGCTGTAAACGAACACAGACTGAGCAACCCAATAACATTCCCGTGTGGACATGCTCTGAGTCTCCAGGATCGTGTTGTTCTGGGTTGAGGTTTGAGTTTTTCTAAGAAGACAACTCAGGACCGCCCTGTAGGAACAGCAGCTGAAAGTCGGTTCCTCCAAGTTGACAAAGATCATGTTTTTTATACTGTATTAATTACTAGTACCCCATTTAAAATTCAGAATTCGTCCCCAAGTGGGGTTGTGACCCTAAAGTTGAAAAACACTGTTCCAGTGCAACGTTTTCTGGGGTAGAGTGAGACAATGTGATTAGGTCCAGTTCTGAGAATGTTGATAATGGGCATAGACACTCAGTGACAGGACAGTCTTCATGATGGATAATGGATGTCTGCAGGTGGATGATCGACTCAGACTTAACACTGACAGAGAGAGAGAGGGGGGGGAGAGGGGGGAAGAGAGAGAGAGAGAGAGAGAGATCCTGACAGGAGGAACCAGTGCCATCGCCTTCTTGACTGACATTAACCCTCCTTCCACTGTGGCCACTGACAGAACACTATATATAAACTATTATAGACTTGTTATTACCTCTACTCACTGTCATCAAGTTGGTTAATGAATGAAGAATCTTGCTTGACTGGAATTGCTGAATTTTGTGTTTAGCGGTTATTTTTAGATTAGGTTCAAATACACTTTATTAATCCCTGTCAAAAACAAAAACAGGGACTTGGACCCTGGACTCTGGACTCTGGCAGTACTGGGGTTTTGCAGCTGATGTTCAACCTTTGGTCATTCAGGACAGCTTAACACACAGACGGACCACACGTCAGCACTTCAGCAAGGTCAATCCTTCCCACAATTCACGAGGCCAGGTTGGGCCACATCACCGTGTCCTTTCAATGCAATGATGCTGACTCACATTTGAAAAGCTTTGGTCACCATGGCAACGGAAACCAGAGCAGGTTAATCGGAGTCTTTTGAACGTGTTCAAAGCTGAGCTCCCGGTGATTCATCCCTGTGGCAGCAGCGCTGCGTACATTCAGCTGAATGAGCGCCATGATCTCAGCTGCGTTCACTGATGTGGACGTGGTCGTTCATCAAGAGTCACACTGATGGAACACAAGCATCAACACAGCAGTTTTACTGTCTGCTGATGAAATAATGGGATGAAATAAAAACGTCAGCACTGATTTAAAAAAGGAAGGGGGGGCAAGAGGGGTTCAACAGTTTCAGGTCGACTGTATACATTCGACTTTACCTTTGGACTATTTGGAGGAAAACTGAAGCTAAAGCACAACAACATGTGTGCTGCCTGTTTACACCTGCTACTGTATAATAAGTCATTTTATTAAGTCATTTCATTTGAAAAAATGACCTTTTTTCCCAATGTCTTTTCAATGCTGTGTTGTTTTCTCCTGTTTTGTAACCTTTATGATTTTCTCTCTCTGTTCTCCACACAAAAAGTCCAGGGATGAAACACGTGAACCAGTGATCTACCTGCTGTAAGGCCACCGTCACTGCTGTGTTGTTTCAGCATAATCATGCGGTCTTTAAAACCCATTTTGGCCCGAAGTAAACCTGGCAAACAGCAGAAATGAGCAAAGAAAAAAGAAAATCTAACAGAGTTTATGATCCCGCCCCCCCCCCCACGCACACTCACACTTTCTCCTCCTGTCCTCAGGCAGAGAATCAGCAGGAGCCAGCGTGAAGTGAACCTGCTGAGCTAATTGCTGTGATGGATTTGTGTTATTCCCCTGAGCACGGGGCTCGGGCTCCTGCCATAACACAAAAAAGATGATTTTCATACTAGGCTGCTGTGAAGAAAGTGTGAGCTGTAGTGCTGGGAGAGCAGCGGCAGCGGCAGGGGCGGCAGCCACAAGACGAGCAGACGGAAAAAGGGGCGGGGGC